TTTTCTGATCGCGAGGTACTATGTCTTATTTTAAAAAACTAAAATACCGGAACATTATTTACAATCAGAGTATGTTTTCACGCACACGTTAAAGAGTGCGTATCGTTTCTATTCATTATTCTAAACACTTTCTTTCTTTTGGGGTACTTCACTACACTACTACACAAATACATAAGAAAATTGTTTCTGCAATCACCTGATAATTCCTACACTACCGATAATTCAACACCTCTGTCACTTTCTAGTCTTAATATTTTTCTAAAACGAACCACAACAATATAGCGAATAAAAACTTTAATGGGGTAGTTAAGGGAATTAAATGAGCTGTTTTGTGCCCATTGGTTTTTTTCACTTTTGATGGTGGAGTCGATTTCAATTTCGGAAATTTCTCTTTCTCGAGATGTTTTAACAATGCATTCACCGTCCGACGAGTTTCGACAGTTAGAGTCTGCAAATTCCGATCATTATCAACTATGGGAGCTAGAGTATTTGGGGGAAGATCAAGAGCAAGCTTGTTCTTTTTCTTGGATATATAGTCAACCGTATTTCAAGCAGAAATCTTCGCTATTCTACAATGCGCGACAAAAAAAGAACAGGAAAGCTTACTCAGGTAAGCTCATCAATATATGCTCAGACTCTCAGGCAGGACTTTAGGCGGTTAATTTCAAATGTACCATCGAGACGTCTGAAAATGTTAAGTTTTAATTAAATTATTCTGGGTGCCGGGCCACAGCGATATCCAAGGTAACGAAAAAAAACGCAGACAGCCAAGCAAGGATCATCGTAATATTATCTTGGTCCAGAGCCAATACTGGGAATACCCAAATGCATAACACGTATTGGGTAGTCAACTCTGGATCAGAGAAAATCAGTTCGTCCGCTGCAGAAACAGACAGGGCCACAGACTAGCAAGGTCTTCATCTAAGGAATCCTCTAAATCATAGAGGAAACTACCAATGACCAGCAGGAATAAAGTGCGGATTACAACAGGTTCTTTGAGAGGATATATAGCTGTCAAGTGCAACTCAAGGTCAACCTGTATCAAGGAAGTTTTACTTCACAGACTTTGCGATAGATCCTGAAACAGCAGACATAATATTCCACTAATACGCAAATCTGCATAAGCTGGTGCAGAACATAGGAATAATACACTACCACTGCCATTGTCGCTGACGAGTATTTGACACGCATCTGATGATGGTTACGCAAGGCGTTTTCTTCATGAGCGTCTGCTTTTCTGTGACTGAAAAGCCCGATACTTGATGTTATCTCTCTTCCGCACTCCGGACATTCAAAAATATTATTGTTTTGATTTCTTGTCCAACATTCTCTGTATTTATGTAAAATGAAAACAGTACTGGAAGCTGCTATTCTTGGATATATAAATGGAGTGGAGAAATAAGATGCTATTTTACATATTTTAAATAATAGAGTAGACGCTATTGAATATCGGCCTGAGTTTTACGGACATTTAAATCTACAGGGTGGTCCGAAAGGGAAACTTCGGCAGCATATTCTGTAGATAAAAATAGGTAAAAAAGTTCGTATTATATCCTAAAATGCTTAGTTTCGGGAATACAGGGTGTAGAAGTTTCATTTTTATTTCAATTTTTTTCAAATAATTTATGAAGTAACGTCGATATTTGAAAGAAAATTGGTGTCTGGAGGCTTTTTGACATGATAAATTTGATTTTGATGTCAATATGACTCTTACTTGTAGAGGGCGCCACCTACATACTTCTTAACTGGTTTGAAGAGTAATAACTTTTCGTCCGTATCTGTATAAAACTATTGAGTAAAAAAATATACATTTACGGCGGTGCAGTTTACAGTTCGGACCGCCCTGTATATAATATGCATGAGTGATCCATGAGTAAGATGCTTTACTTGAATTTTAGATGTACCAAGAAAAGAAGACTAGATTACTAGACCAAACTAGACTAGCAATGCCTTAAACATACATCAAAATAAATTACATTGCATGTTTATGATGATGATAAAAAAACGGCGTCGAGTTGGCTTGTAAATGAACATCGAATTCATTCCCCGTATAATTTTATATATAAAATGATAGCGATTTTCATTTCATAGCCATTGCTGACGCAGTTTTTTTCGATCATACGGTACCTAGAGTATAGGAGAACATAATCAACTTTGCACAAAAACCGGTACAGAATTTTATACAGGTTTTTATT